GTAGGGAGATATACTGGAGAGGAGGAGGGGCATCCAAGCGAAAACTCATCACGTACGGGGGTGGGATGTGGGGTGACCCTCTTCATTCTCGATCGTGGCTACGTCTGTGTGCGCTTACTATTTGACTTCTGACTTGGATGGTCTGCGGCCGGTGGCAGCGACTGTTCAATGCCAGGGAGGTCAAAGGGCAGGGGGCCGTACCAAGCATTACGGTGCATGTAGGTTTTCTATTGAGTTCAACTGTATAACTGGAATTTTGCAGTATGAAGTTAACGCTCATTGAGCACACACAACAGTTCTGCTTTGGGTGGGCTCTGATCTCAAAATAATCGGATCAGACAGGTTTTAAAGGCAAATATGACAACAACAAAGCACACCACCCAAGCATGTTTATGGATTGCATTATGAACCGTGGTTAGGGCTATCGGGCCCCCGGTTCAAACGGGACCCGGGTCCGCTTTAGGACCCGTGCTAGGGACTCTGAAGGCCGATGTTCTGTGCTAGTGCTCGTGACCGGCCAGACCCTTCTATTGTCTTATTGTGGACCATCTCATCGTCATTTCTCGCATTGTCATCCCATATCGCGCAAGAGGACCTCGACCAACGCAAGTGACTGACATCCAGGGTCCCGTCCTGCTTCTCTTCGGCAAAATGTGTCCCTGGTTGACTAGGAACCTTTTGCTGACGCGGGCTTCCCTGCTAACCAGGCATGAAGTTTAACGAGCTCGGTTAAACCGATGGCAAAATCATTCATAGTGGTCGCAATAATCTAATCGGTGGTGAGACGTGTATTTTGGTTGTGATTCATCCAAGTTAGTTAACATGGCCATTTTGCATAGTTCAAGTCATTTTTGGTGGCCGGTTTAATAGAGCCTCTATTTGGTAGCATAAATATCAGCTGGTGACTGCGCGTATCTCAAGACAGAAAACGCGGGCCGATCAGGATTGGAGGGGTGGGGCCAAGGTGAGACCAAGGATATCTAACGAGTGAGACTGGAATTTGGGATGTATGGCCAGAACTAAAAATGGCATTTTGCGTTGGAAGATGAAATGAAGCCTGCAATACAAATTTTGGGGAATCACAGTTATGGGTATAACACGCACGTGAGGGAGCGGTCGGCTGATTATATAATGGAATAGCTGGGTGGTGTGGTCAACATTTCGCACACAGCGATTCTGACCGTGTAAGATCATCAAATATTTTGGGAAAGGCTTGACAGAGGGGAGTTGCCTGTGTAGGTGTGAAATGCATGCTGGTGTATTGATATTCTTAGGATTGTGGATTTATATCTGTTATGTGCTGTCTGTTACAGGGCCGTTAGGTGTAGGGAGGGATATGACCAAGCCTGTTTAAGTTGTGAATGGATGATTTGAGCAACATCAATCACCAACAAAAGGTTGGTTGCTATGAAGGATACAAGCTGCTTAATCTCACCATGCACACATATGACAAAATGCCCAAAGCACTCCATAAGATAGCTGGAAAATATTGGTGTGTGAGGACTCTGGTCTTACAATGTTCAATTGGATTCCAATAAAATTATTTATAATGTCCAGATTAAAATATTTAGAGTTCTGAAAATAACACATTTCACTTTAACCAGGATTCCCATCAAATGGACTACCAAGACCACCTGTCTCAGATCACATCAGCAATGTGCTTTCAGTTGATCATGTCATCCTTCTGACATGAAAGCAACCATATGCCAGATGAAAGCAACCATATGCCAGATAAAATTTACATCTTTGGAGCTTAAGTGGCTTATGCTGCAATCAAAATTAGTCATTTTTTAGCCTGCTTTTGAATAGGTTACTGCTCTCAACTGTTGGTGGATTTTTTTTAAAATGTGCAATGTGAAAATTTGCAATCTGGAATCATGATGCGTGCAAGCTACTTGCTGCCTCAAATTCAAGAGCATGAATAAAGTATGCTATCTTGCTCTAAACCTTTTGCATGTTGCTAGAATTAAAAACAAGTATGATAGCTTCATGCATTGTTTTCATCTGTAAACTAACAATGTTAGATGCTTCATCCTACTTTCCATCTTGGTATAAATGGGCGCAAAATGACCACTGCAGTCGACGCGCCCGAAGAAAACTCCAATGAACAACATCTTGGTATAAATGTCTTGACAACAATATTTTGGGGAAGATCATGCTTTTTTGTAGTTATGAGTTTTAATTAAAAGAATCCCAATGTCAATGGCACGTCCCACGTGGCACGACTGCATGTGGTCATACTGTGGTTTATGCCAACTGTTATACCATTTTAAATATTTTATTATTTTTTCTCAGTTGTGTTTGCATCGTAACCTTTGCAAGGTATTGGTAATAATCATAAACCTATGAGCCAACTGTATACCATTTTGAAGTATTTTACTATTTGTCTCATTTGTGTTTTGCATCATAACTTCAGTTCTCTGTCATAGGGACATTCCTTGGATGTTGTAACATTTGCCAAATTTGTTTGGCAACCAGATAATATTTGAATAGTGAACATATGGAGAATTCAGCACTTTTTCATGTTATGATCATGGGTCACCGACCAGAAGCGGTTCTTGAATGTCAGACGGTATTAGTGTGAATGTCACGTTTGCACTTTGTTTTGAATGTCAATGTCCGTTGGACTGTAGGTAGGCCGGTGAGAGAATAACTTCAGCTTTGGCTACACAATGCCACGCTTTCCTCCACTGGCTTGTGGTAGGGCTTCAATTTTGTAGCATTTTTTGTTAGTGTCTCTGGCTGTGTGTAATTTTCAACAGCTGGCTGTAACTTCAAAAAAAATGAAGAGTAAAGATGCAAACAATTATAAATGGTTTCAGTACAGTCAGGGTGTGACCTGTTTTATGTGAGTGCGGCTTCAGCCTCATGCAATCTTGAACTGCAGGATTTGGCTTTTGTGGATTTGGCATTTTCACTGCAGCTGTGACTTTGTTTAAAATATATTTGTGCCCCTTGTTGCCTTCATAAACACACCTAGTTTTGAAGTTGCAATGCACATAACAGAAGGCATAAAACTAGTGGGTCCTTTCTTGAGCCTTGGAAATGACCAGCTTTCTTCAAGCATTAATTAAACCTGAGTAGAACAGCGCCAGTTTTGAGTCATAGGCATAACAACATGGCTAAATTTAATAGGGTTCAATATGCATTAATGGTATCCATTGCATCATTTGTGACAATCATAGTGAATCCATTGTCCCTGCAGATAAGGGCATAATTTTGTCTGCACTGAATTTGAGGGGCAAGTAAGACATCATTCACATACTCCACCCCTTCCTTAAAGGTGGCAGAGGCCCCTTGTTGAGGGCCTCAGTCCTTTTGGCAGATTTGACATCTGTGGGACTGTATTTGACATCTGAGAAGCTTAGATATGGCCCACAAGGCGATGCAATAGGCCTCAGAGCATAAATAGATGCCCAGAGTCCAAAAAATGCCCCCTGGAACAAAACAGTCCCAGGAATGAATATTTTCAACTCATTTTTACTCCATCATCATTTGGCTTGTCAGTCATCTTAACTGTTTTCTTTTATATGATAGCTTTTTGTGTGTCCACATCTGGTGTGCATCATGCAGCATAAAGGAGACAAAATTGAATCAAAAGAATTTTGACTGTTCAATGCATTTGGGTGTCAGTTGATGAGCAGATTTCCTAAAGACATGAACTGGCAGGTTGACTAAGAGCCACAATAGCATGTCGCGGTTAGCCCACTTCAGGTTTTGAACATATCCTCAAAACTTATTGTGCCATCTGGCCTGCCTGAATTTAGCTATAAATGACATCTGTCGTTTGGCGGCTCATTCCAGTGGTTCGCTATTCTTTGACTAAATGACATCTGCCATTTCATGGTTCTGCTGCCTTTTGGCAAATGAATCTGGTTTCCTCTAAGTCTTTGCCCAGTTTCCAGTGCTTCTTGTAGATCTACCTTGTCCATCCATTTCAAAATCTTGAATGTCTATTAGATCCCTCTAAGCCTATGATATTTCAATGAATGCAAATACAATGCCTTAAGTCTATTCTTATATTTTAAGTTGTCAGTCCCATTTATCTTTTTAGTTTCTTTATGCTGTGCCCTCTCCCGCCTATCTATATATTTTTGGAAGCTTGGGGGCCAAGCTTGGATACATCACTTTAGGTGTGCACTGGCATAAACTATGTGCAACTTTTGACAGCATTCCTACTGTGGTAATAGACATTTCTTTTAATGCGTCTGAGCATCTGAAGTGCCCTTAAATCCTTAGAGGCTATGACCCCTATGCCATCTTCCTCGATCTTGTCTAACTCCCTGCGTCCAATTTTATAGTTAATGCCATCGCTGCCAGAGCTACTGAAAGGAATCACCTTTCGCTCATCAGATTAAATGACACCTGCCACAGAGAAGCCCGGTTCACCAGTTTGTTTCAGTCAAGCTTAACCGGGTCGGCATTTCTCGACATTATCAATTTAATATCATCAGAAAACTGAAGTACTTTACTTCTGAATCTTATATCAATATAATTCACAAAAATGATAAAGAGCAAAGGGCCCAGCACCGACCCCTGCGCTACCCCACTCTTAACCAGCCCCCACCGGGATTTAGTACATTTGAGCGCTACTCTTGCGCTCTGCTGTCTACTCCTGTCTTTCAGCCAATCCTTCACCCACCCAATAATTTTTCCCTCAATGTGATGCAGTTTTAACTGATATAAGAGACCCTGATTTGGCACCTTATCAAACGCCTTACGTAAATCTAGATAAACAACATTTAAACTATTGCCTTACGTACCTGACTAGTAACATGCTCCATGAAGTCCAGAGAAAATTTGTGAAACAGGATCCATTAGAAAGAAAGCTATGCTGACTGTTATCCATCGAATGATGCCTATCAAAGTATCACTGAATGCCAGTCCTAATGAATTTGTCTAATATCTTACATGATAGCGATCTTATCCGATGTTTTATCCTTGCCTTACTAGATCTTGCTTCTGAGGTAAGATTGACAGGCCTGTAGCTGCTGACACGTTTTGGTCCCCTCCTTAATTAACGTTACTACATGGGCATTGCGCCAGTCCTCGGGTGCTTCTCAGAAACTTACTGACGTATTTCATTTTGTCATAACAGGATATATATTCGGTCAGGTCGGCCGTTTCGGTTTCGGGTTTTCCTCGAGGCCACGTAATGTCAGCAAACAACAACTTGGAGCCTTCTGGGGGTCTATTTTTCGAAGGCCCAACTAGTCGCGTTTCTAGCGCATTGCTAAGAGCGTATTTTTCCGCAACGGATTTTTAAGGAGAATTAAGTAAGGTACATAGGCCAACCATGGTCAAGCCTTCCCATGCATCGCTGTCATTGATAACCATGTGGCTAACGTTAGAACCTCAAAAGTGGGACCCGTTGCTCTTTGTCCCTAAGTGCATATTTGATTATTTATTTGTGAAGATATCATTAATTCGATTAGAGATCGGTTTTAATTAGAAGATCTTAAGCACAGAACAGGCAGCCATCCAGAGCCGTTCAGGTTTCGAGCGTGCTGTGGGGTCACCCAAAGAGCAAATTTCATCTGATGCAAGGAATGCATGTTCCAGGCATGTAGCACCTCATCCATTGTTCCAGGTTTGCTGAAAAATTGCCACATGCGCCGTCCCTAAATTACATTACGCCCCGTCGGACATTTTCCATGTTGGTCGATTGTGCTGGGCGAAATCCCCTATGGCTCGTGATTACGCTGTGTTAAGTGTAGCGTCCCAAAAATGTAACATTCATCAACCTCCTGACTTAGCTAGAGGTATTAAACAAAGACGTACTTGCTGCTTTGCCTGAGAGGAAGCCAATGATAACCGGCTTTAAGGGTTCAAAGCATGTAACAAGCATGCAAGCATGCTCTTCAACCACACCTAAGCGTAACGTCGTCCCGTCCCCCCCCCCCCCCTCCCGCATCCGAGGCACGATTAAACGCCCTTGACGCCTTAAAACGCCCTTGGTGTCACAGAGTGTCGTTTGATACCCTTGACGCCCTTGTTACGCCATTGTGTCCGGAAAACAGGTGAACGGTAATGTATGGACGGCCATGCAAGGATTTGAAACGCTATAACATTTTGCCCTCTTGCAGGATTTTGCGAAGTGACCAAGAATCCCAATGTCTGGAGGCATCCTGATTGGTGTCAGGGCATTTGTCAGACGAAATTTAGTGTCTGTAGCATTCCCCGTTGTATGTTTTGGCTCTATTGTTGCAGATTACTCACACACAAAGGTGAGCAACACGGCGTATCCTTACACTTTTTGGGAAGGGTGAAAATGTCACCCTTTTCCTCTTTCTTTTCTTGATGTGAGGAGTTATGGGGGTTAAGAATTTAGGGTGTTAGTAAAGGAGGGAGCAGGGAGTAAGGGAAGGAGGTAGTTATGGGGCCAAACGACGAGAGGATTATGGAGTGAGTTAAAGGCAGAGTTCGGTTGTTAAAAAGTGATGGAGGTAGTCGGAAGTAGAGGGGTAGCTAGAGTTATGGTGATGGTTAGAAAATTGTGGATGTACGAAGCTACGTGAAAAAAAATGTGGGATTTCGTAAAGAAGTTTGAGTATATAAAATAAATAAAAAGGTAGGAGATTTTTAGGTCATGACAAGAGATGGAATCAGAAAAAAACAATGGGTATTCATAAAGTGAGTTGGAGAGATGGAGTTATGAGGGTTATAATAGGGGTTGAGAGTGGTAAGACGAACTGGATAGTTGGAAAAGGAGTTTGGAGTTCAAACGTTTAGATGGCTCAGTTTGAGAGCGAGAAAAATTTGCTTGGCCAAAAATGGACGAAAATAATGTATTTTATGGAGTTATGAAATAAGTTTTTAGGTTACGGAAGGCTTTGGGTAGCTGAGAATGAGGGAGGTAGTGAGGGACTAGTGAATAAGTTACGGAGTTCGTAAATAGGTATGAGAGTGAGTGGAGAAGCTATGGGGCTAGTTCAGAATTTAAAAAGAAAAGCATGGTATTACAAGTGCAGTAAAGGGGTTAAAAAAGAGGGCAAAGGAGACATGAAATAAGTAAGGGAGCTATGCCTAAAGTTGTGAAGTTATGAAAATGGTTTGGGGAGTGAGAAAAAAGGCAGGGAGTCAGTAAACGGATCGGGGGTTAGGCAAAGGGCTAAGGAGTAAAAAATGGAACACGAATATAGCAAGGAATTGGAAGTTAAAAAGCTGGGTTGCGAAGTTAGAAAAGGTGTGAAAACGGTTAATGCAGTTGGTGTTTGGGAGGGAGACAGGGAGCTGAGAAGCTGACAAAAGATGGGGATTAAAAACAAAGCTTAGGAATAAGAAAATAAGTTGGAAGGCTAGGGTATTGGTTAGAGATTTAGGGAATGGATGGGGGGGGGGGGGGATTGGAGAGCCTGGGGGATGGAAAGGAGACGTGGAAGCGGGTATGAATGAAGAGAGGGAAGGTTGCGGTTGGCGAGAAAAGAGGGGAAAAGTAGTAAATGAATAAGGGTTTGAGCGAAGGAGTAATGAAAGAATTGAGGGAAGGTGTAAGGAATGGAATGATATAGACAGGAAAACAGAGAGAGCATTGCATGTAACTCATGTATGTAAGTACGTAATGTAGTATGTAACTGAAAATGGTTAAGAATTTGAAAGTCGTGCAGTTGTCGTTTCCTTATTCACATGGTGTTTTGCGTCTGCGATTGGCCCTTTCCTCCGTTATTTTCACATATATTGGGCTCGTATAATGACCCGTTGGTAGAAGGGCGGGTGGCGAGAGGCACGTAGGCTTTGACAACAATATTCTGGCTGAATGCCGGTAACGTTCGTGCAGGTCATTGTTAGTTGGGGCTGAAGAGACGCTCATTTGTTTACAAATTTTGTCGTCGCTCTGAGAAACTGAAATTGACTACTGTATGCATGGTATTCTCGTCTGGGTAAACTGACGCTGTTGTATGTTTGGCCAGGCTTGGAAAGCAAGCAAGAAGGCAGCGCAAGACCCTGCTGTTCTATCTGACTGAGATGCTGGCTCCAATCGTGCGTCATCCGCTGGTAGCTGCCTCGCCGCTAGCCTGTTCCCTGTTCTTCACCAGTTGATACCTCGACCAGATGGACGACGAGCATGTGACCTTGTTCAGGGGCAGGTCAATGCTGCATGGCTGGCAGCTGGCGCCAGACAAGAGGCCGCCGTGGTTTTGTGGAATACATAACCATGTGCAGAAGTCGCTGGTGTTCGGCTAGCAGCTGTGAATGTTGTTCTTTGTTTTTTAAGGGTGTATGTAATATATGAGTGAGAGTTGTTCACCCGTATGTCGTCGTCCTTGCGTTAAATAACACGTTTCAGCGGCGAAGGTGTGTACCTGTCGTCTGAGAAGAGTGGAAACGAACTGAAATAATTGCTTAGAGATTGTGGCCATTCTTCACCATGGTCTCACATTTTATGTCTTATTAAAGCAGTTGCACCATGGTCGTCTTGCCTTGAAAGCGATCAAGGATCATTTGAGCATCCAGCCATTTTCCGGGTATGTGCACTCATGTTTTGCTTTCCCTCTCCATTTCTGGCACCCATTCGCCCGTTTGCTTGTGGAGAGCGTAATGGACAGTCAGTAAGATCATGTGTATGGATGAGCTGGTGAGTTCAAACTCGCTAGGTATGCTAATTGAGAGGTCAAGATATTTTATTTACAAGGTTATATACAATGCTTATGATATACAGGATTTCAGGGTATTTGCGATGACACATTTCCTTACAAAAGACCTTCCTTTTGTTGCACGCGATGTCGCGGCACTGAGGGGCTTCTCTGTCATCACGCAAGGACACGTTCTGCTGGAGGACCCGCTTGACTCTGTTTTACCCGCTAGCGCTGCTTATTTGCACGAGCCTACGGTGGCATACTGACGCCCTGCGGAGCCGCTGCATTGGATTTTGATCGGTTGGAGCGGGGAGGGGGAAAAGGACGTGACCGCCAGCGGCAGCCGTGTCCAGTGTGCAACGACCCCCAGCTGGTCGTTCCGGTTCGCGCCGAGAATGGAACGTGAGCGGGACGCGCCCGGGAAAGGCAAGGAGGTAAAGGAACCGACACCAAGACCAGAGCTGTCTTGCTCGCCGATACCTAAACAAAGCTAGGGGAATTTTTCAAGTAGCGAACTGAAGCCGAATGCCCATGAAAGCGGCGACGCAAGGAGTCTCCAGCAACTAGTATCTAAAAATACGTACCCAGATGCCTGCGCACCGATCGCGCCGATTCAAGGTCCTTAACAGGCCGGTTTGCCCCTTGGGTTAGCCGCAGAAGCGGCAGTCATTAATAGTTCCCAGTGTTAAATAAACGCACTAATCCTTGAACTATTACCGGAAGGATGATTGCACTTTACTGGTGGGTAAGAACTCCTGTCCGTAAGTCACGGGAACCAGAATTACACATTGCAGCGTGAATATACACACTTGGGCTGCTGGTGTAGCATGCGGACATAGCCATGCAACCAATGTATATTTTGTATCATAGTTATTCGCTTCAGGCTTTATTTCACGCATTGCTGACGGTGGACTCTTATGTTTGCGTTTCATGAATCTGTTGCATTACTTTAGTGGATAGTCACTAGAAGCGTCAATACCCAACGAGGTTGGCATGACAACAGTACGTAAACAAACCAGCCGCTTCGGTGAATCCTTCGGGTTGCGGGACGTGGGTTGAATCCGGGAAGTAACATTGAGATCTGCATTGCGGTGACCGTGTGGGGTTGCAGCCGTACGTATCCCATTACAGGTGAGAATAAAACGTGACTTGGGCTTGAATAGTTTGAGAAACCCACATTTTTGTGTCACTTTGAGACGGCAATGGTTCAATATTTTGGTGAACTAGATGATCAGCACCGGTTCACCTCGTACTGCCTGATGCCATCATTTACCAAATGACCCATCCAGCCATCAAGGATTAAATTGTGGTGGATTTTAACAATGTCATTTGGTTGCAGCTATCTCAATTTAGTGCATGTTGCAGATTTGGAAATATCATACCCTGTTAAATAGTTCCTGTGTATGTCACTTTTCACTTATTGACAGTATTTTAAAACAGCACTGCTGGTGGGATGTACCATGGTTCAAGGAAATGAAATGATTAATCTTTAAATGTCATTCGCTGAGCTGACCCATTTCAAAATGCTCACCTTTATAGCCATCTTGACATGAATGTCTCATTTCTGGGTACCTGATAGTTGGGCTTTGCATTTTTTATTATTTTACAGGTCATGCACTCCAGGATGTACCAATTTCCCATCCCAAGCCCACCTTTAAGCCCACCCCCCACCACAGCACCCATGCTGTCCACCCTTATACTACATACACCCACACCCATGCATGCCCATGCCCACACTCCCAACACCCCACACCCATGGCCACAACCACAACACAACCAAACAAACCACAACCACACAACCACAACCACACCACACCACAACCACAACCACAACCACAACCACACCACAGCCATCCTGCAACCAAACTACAATGCCCACATCCACACCAGTACCACAACCACAACCACAACTGCAAACCCACAAACCACAACCAACACACAACCACAAAACAAACACAAACACATCAATCATACACATACACAGTACACAAACACACTATTTGCATATATTAGAAAACCCATAGGCTGTAGGCATAACAACGCCCTGTAATACGAGCAATGAGAGCTTTTTGCCGGTCATCAGGCGTACAACCCAGGTGTCTCTGTAAACACGCACGCAGATCGTAATGCCTGTTACGTGATGCACGATAACCACGATCCCTGTGATCGGTCTAAGGTGTGGTGCATGTGCGGGTAAGGTGTGGTGCATATGCTACATACTTGAGATGGGTGTGTTCGTTTTAGCACACCTTTGAGGACTTCCTGAGATATGGACGAAAATGAGCCTTCTAGCGATTATGAGGAGTATACGTCCGAGACGGGCGGGACATCGACAGAGGACACCAGCTCTGGCTCAGAGAGCACCGATTATGAGACGGCGGATGCTGCATCGACCAGTAGCACAGGAAGGCGCGCTGGCCAGAACAATCTGGATAAACCTGAAGCATTTATCGGATATGACGAAATGGTTACTGGTACTGCGTGTACCCGTCAGAACAATCCAAGCGCACGGTTGCGTCCGGGTCACTACGACTCTAACCCTCGTGCAAATCATGCAAACAAGGTGACTGTAAGTGCAAACGGCGTAGCCACGCAGCTATCGTCCATGCACTTTGATTCACTCATTCAGCAAAACCCAGACACACACAGTTCAGATCTCCCAGAGGTCGTTGAGCTACAAAGAGGTAAGCTGAGCAAATATAATCAGCTGGCACACTCAAGTACTCCGATGTGTAAAATTAAAGAAGAAACGAGTGGCAATGCCTCGCTTTCGCTCAACGAGTGTAGTCTTCCGGGGATGGGATCCGGCACGGCTGTCGTTAAAAAGCAGCGTAAGCACCACACTGATGCATTTTCGAGCCTCGGTGATGACATGGCGAACTTAACAGACCGCGGAGAAGCCAAGAAGATAACCGGCGTGGACTGCGCAGAAGTCGATGCTGACGCAAGAAAATATAGAGGCCAGCCAGTGGTGGACTGTGGAAATGATCAGCATTCATTGAAAGAGGCAGAAGCAAGAGAAAATCTGGCTGTGATTGATGGTGCCAAGTCGGCGTCACGTCGGGCGCTGAAGGCGGCCGGCAGGCGGCGCGCCTCCGCCAGGGCGGCGCCACCGGTTCGGTTCGAGGTGGAGCTGCAGTCGAACTGGGGCAGCGAGGAGCGGGTGGGGCTGTCACAATTCTGCTTCTTGGACGGTCACGGCAGGAAAGTGCAGGTGGCGGCGCAACGTGACCTGGTGTCCGTGACGGGGGTCAGTGACCTGGCGAGCACGAGGACCGTATCGAAGCTGTTCGGTACCAGCGATCAGGTGGGCGGCAGCGGCTGGACGTGCCCGTTCAACTCCTCGCCCGTGTCGCTGAAGCTTCTGCTGTACCCGACTGACGGGAAGATCAGCGCAGTGAAAGTTCGGAACTACGGCAGCAGCGTCCGAGAGCAAGGCATCGGCGTACGTGACATTCAGTTGCGTATGGATGGCAGGCTGGTATACAATGGTGAGCTGCGTAAGGGTAATAGCCAGCCATCGGTGATCAAGGTAGCCTCACCTGGCTGCCAGCCAGAAAGAAGGGTTCAATCCGCGCGAGAGAAGTCCTCCCTCTGGTTCCCCGGCGGCGACAACAGACTCATCGAGCTATCCAGCGAAGAAGAGGATGAAGAGTGTCCCACACCGAACCCTCCCACCCAAGCCACGAACGCTGAAGCAACGCCGGGTGCTTGCCCCGCACCGCTGTGGTTCGGCGGTTGGTCCAGGCCGAGCCGCACGCCGGACTCGGCCGGGTCCCGCAGCGCCGAGTCGGTGGTGATCCAGGACCTGGAGAACGCCAGCCCCTGGGCCTCCCAGCGGCCGGCGCGTGTCGGCTCGGCGCGGTTCGGCCGGCGCGCCACGCCCGCCGGAGCCAGGCAGCGCCCCGGTGACACCCCCAGCCCGGAGTCGACGCTCACCGGCAGCGGCTCGGTGGCCTCCTCGCCGAGCGGCTCGGACGCCAGCTCGCCACAGCGCAGTGTTGACACGTCGCTGGAGGAGAGCTGGAGCCAGCTGGAAGCTTTCAATCTGCAGCAGCGCGGCCGTCTGGTCAACAGCGCGCTGGACGACGCCGCGTCCTGGACGGCCTGCTCGTCACGTGAGGCCACGCCCACGCCGGGGGTGATGACGCCGCTGTCGGTCGTCGAGTGCACCGATGACGCCTTCGCCGGGTGTGACTGTGACATACCAGAGCTACCCGAGTGCCAATGGCTGACGCTGAACATCAGGTCCACGTGGGGCGACATCCACTACGTGGGCCTGAACGGAATTGAGGTGTTCGACACCGACGGCCAGCCGGTCGAGGTGGTCTCGATCCGCGCCGAGCCTGCCGACATCAACGTGCTGCCCGAGTATAATCGCGACCCGCGCGTCGTGACCAACCTGGTGGACGGCGTGAACCGCACGCGCGACGACATGCACCTTTGGCTGGCGCCGTTCACGCCCGGCGGCGACCACCTGGTGCAGCTGGACTTCGGCCGGCGCCACCGGCTGGCGCTGCTGCGCATCTGGAACTACAACAAGTCGCGCTGCCACTCGTTTCGCGGTGTGCGCCACGTCGAGATCGGCCTGGACGGGCGGCCGCCCTTCTGCGTGGAGGTGGCACGTGCGTGCGGCGACACGCTGGGAGGCACGGAGGCGTTCGGCGACACGATCCTCTTCACCACCGACGACGCCGTGCTGGAGCGCGTGTCGCGACACGACGCGTCGTTCGCCGCCGAGCCGGCCGAGGCGCCCGAAACGGTGGCGCAGGACCCGGCTGACCGGCCGCGGACGGCCGACGCCGACGAGACGGCCGAGCGGCCCTTCACCTCGGACCTGCAGGACCGACCACCGGCGTCGGCCGGGGACGGGCCACCGGCCGGCGCCGCACTGCGCGCCCAGCAGCTGCGGCTCGTGCTCACCTCGTCCTGGGGCGCTGAGTGTGTGGGGCTCACGGCGCTCGAGCTGCTCAGGGAGAACGGCGAGCCGGTGGAGCTGGCGGCCGCGCAGCTGAGCTGCTCGGCGCCGGGCCGCGGCCTGGCCAGCCTGGTGGACGGCCACCACATGACGTCCGACCCGCTTCACATGTGGCTGGCGCCGTGGTCGGCCGGCCACGCCGTGACGCTCACCGTCCGGCTGGCCGCCGTCACCTGGCTGTCAGGCCTGCGCGTCTGGAACTACAACAGCTGCGCCGAGGAGGCCGACCAGGGCGCGCGCACTTGCCTTCTGGAGGTGGACGGGCGCCGCGTGGGCCCGTCAGAGGGCGTGCTTCTGCGTCCCGGGCCCGGTCATCTGCACTACAACTTCGGCCAGACGCTGGGCTGGGAGGGCGCCGCGTCGCCGCCGGCGCCGCCCCTTCGGGCGCCGCGGCCGGCGCTCGGCGACGGCCTGGCCTGCGAGGAGTACGAGGCCCCGGAGATGCCGCGCGGCTTCGTCTTCCAGCTGCAGCTCAACTCCAGCTGGGGTGACCCCTACTACATCGGCCTGACGGGGCTGCAGCTGTTCGACCAGGCCGGCCGGCCAATCACGCTCGCGGCGCGGCAGGTAGCCGCCCACCCGGACAGCGTGAACGTGCTGGAGAACATCAGCCACGACGTGCGCACTCCCGACAAGCTGGTGGACGGCGTGACGGACGGTCAAGATGGCCGCCACTCGTGGCTGGCGCCGCTGCTGCCCGACTGTCTCAACCGCGTCTACGTCGTTTTCGACCGGCCGCACACCGTGTCCATGGTGAAGCTGTGGAACTACGCCAAGACGCCGAGCCGCGGAGTACGCGAATTCGGTCTGCTCGTCGACGATCTGGTGGTATACAACGGCGTGCTGGGACGCGCGCCCGAGCCGGCGCGCGCCGGCGGCCGCGGGCAGCCCCTGCCCTACCACACGGTGCTGTTCACGGCCAACCGGGAGCTGGTGCGGCGCGAGCGGCACTCGCTGTGCGGCGCCGCGCTCGACCACCACCACGTGCGGCTGCTGAACAACATGCGGCGGCCGGCGGGCGGGCGCGCGGCGTACGGCAGCGCCGGCGCGGTGGATGTGGACCAGAGCCGCCGGCCGTACACGTCGCAGACCTCGCTGACAGTCGGCCAAGCCACCTGACCGGCCGGTCCGGCCTGGCGCGCACTGCACAGCGCAGACGTGCGCTGCTGACCTCACGGGAAGCTTGTAACGATGCTGTGACCCTGCCACTGAGACGTGCGTATGTTGGTGTGAACCGTGTGGACCGTGTGGCGTAGGTTAGTGTGGTTGTCGCCCCGACCGTTGTGATCCTTCGTAACGTGTCTTCGGATGTCGTGCAGTGGAGATTGTCATTCCGTGCGAATAACTAATTTTGTGTGAATCCTGATAGAGATAGTTCATCCACGAGGTAACAAGAAACTGCACCACTTCTGTATGAAATGCAGACCGTTGACTAGCCGCGTGGTGTTGAAATGGCGTGCAATTTTGTTGGTGGACGCTGTCAAACCGTGCAATGTTGTTGGTGGACGTTGTCAAACCGTGCAATATTGTTGGTGGACGCTGTCAAACCATTTATCGTGAATGTCCGTCTAGTAAGCGCCGCGTCTCGGCAACCCTAGACGAGTTCTGACGGTGAATATCATAATAAGGTCAAATCTAAGAACGCCGGTTTTGAGTGCAATAAATAACAAAACGATAACGTGACACCACTCGCAACTGGCACGCTATGTGACGTGAGTAAATGGAGATACCCCGCCCGCGAAACGTATCGCAAGGTGTCATCTTGATGCCGGGCTTTGCATTACGCAAGTATGCACAACCGCCGCTACAAAGGAGCAACGAGTGGCGGCCACCCGAGCGCGCGCGGTCAGTGTCCTACCGTCACGGTGTTTACTGCCGCGCCTCGGGCTGCACTTCTGCGCTGGTGCTAGTCACTGCGCTGTTGGGTTCTTCGTTGTGATTAAAGCTACTCTTCATAGCCTTAAGTTGACCGCTCCTCGTGGACGTTGCTCTAAATAGTTCAAGCGTGTCCTCCACAGTCGTCGATGTCATCGTACAGCATCGTCCCCCGGCTATCATTGACGGCTGACAACGCTTCCCGCGGTCAACCATCAACCGCTCACGTGGCCGATCCGACGACTCGGCGGACAGCCGTAGCTCAAATTTGCCGACGGCTGGTATCCACTTATTCACGCTTTCTATGGAATTTGTATTACTTCATGTTACGACACACAACATACGGCATGTGATAAGGGCTGGTTAGAATGTCTACGGAATTAGCCACAATTGACGAGTTCAGTTCCATTTGCCTCAAGGCTATATTGTGATCGCGCACGCAGTAAAACCTACAGATAACTTTGCATCCAAATTTTTCGATCACCTAGGACGCAAAGGTATCTGCTACCAGCTCATAATCATACGCAGGAAAAACTCCAGCGACAGAAGAGGCATTTGACGTATTTGGGGACGATTGTTCGGTGATACGTTTGTCTAGATGTCATTGATGCAGATATTGTTGACAACTTTATCCAAAACTGGTGGCGGGCTTACAATGGGAAGCGGACAGGCTCTTCAAAGATGACACTTCCACGAGTCCCAATGTTTCGTGCTTTTATGACTATCTGTTCTTGAAGCTTCCACACTGATCAAAACATCACCGATTGCGTTTCTCCGCCTTCTTTCGTCTTCGTCCCTTGAATGTGAACGTGCGCTAGACTACCTGTCATGTCTTCATCAATGTACGTTAGGCTATCTAGTCTGCTCCCGGCACTGGAAAAGCGTCCCAATTATCTACTCGCACTATCAGAGTAGAAGTACACCAACCCCAGTCCACCTACCCTGGTCTGCAACTTCACCATCTGGCACCGCACCACGCACGCTCAGCTGTATTTCTGTCCAGTCGCGGCCACTTCTCTCCTTGACCGTGACGTCACCGGGAGGGCGAGCCGTCCGGTCTCAGGGGCCAGCCAGGGCCGCGCAGGCTACGTCGGCGCTCGCTGCTCAGGTCCGTGACGGTCACAAGCGGCGGCGACGACGGCCGAGCGGCGGCGGCCCGGCTACGGCGTGGCTCATGCTTGGTCGCGCGCAGCTCCGACTGAGCGTCCGGCCTCCGGGCGTGTTCTCTGTTCGGTTCGTCCTGCTCGCGTTTGGGCTGCTGGCGGATGGCTTTGTGAGCGGAGTTTCGTCGGCGTAGCGTCTGCTCCGCGCTCTGCCCGTTCTCCTCGTGCCTGCTGCTCGCGCCGCTGTCCCTGCGCAATGAGTTTCGCCGGTGCTGGTCGCTCGACTCCCTGAGGTTGGAGCCGCGCCGTCCCCGGCCCATCTCGCTGTCCAGCTGTCCCTGCTCAGCGCTCGGTCGCCGCTGCTCGTTCTCGCAGCGCTGCCACACCTGCTCGTCCTCTGTGCGCTCGGAGAGTGGCGCCAGCGAGGGCACCGAGCGGCTCTCGCGCAGCGGCCGGCCGCCGAACGCCGCGTCCACAGCCAGCTGCTGCGCGCTCTGGCCAGCGGCCCTGCTCCTGCGGCCGCAGGGCGTGGTGCTGCGGCCAGCGGGCGTGGTGCTGCCGGAGGCCGGCTCCCGCCGCTCGCCGGCGCCCGCCGAGCGCTTACGGCGCGGCTTCGACTCGGAGCTGAGGCCGACCGTCTCGAGGCGCGCGCTGGCCGAGACAGAGCGCTTCATGCCGCCGGCCGGCTCACTGCCGCCCATCGACTTCAGCCGCGACGCCACGCTGAAGCTGCCGAGGCTGAAGGCCAGCGACGGCTTGCGCGTCTTGTAGGTGCTCTGCAGCGCCGGGCCCTGGCGAACGGTCGGGTCAGGCGGCGCCGTCTTCGGATGCTGCTTGGCGTTGCAGATGCGGTCCATGACGAACGAGCGGCGCATCTCACTGTATCGCTTGGCCTGCTCGGCCTTGTCGTCGGGCGGCTTGACGCTGGGCAGCGGCTCGGGGCCGCTGGCCGGCACGGGCGGCGGTGGCGGCACCGGCCAGATCTCCGGGTCGCGGCGCATCACCACCACTATGTCGCCGCCGTCGATCTCGCGCTGACTCTCGAGCACGAAGCGCGGGTCAGTCAGCAGGTGGCGCGGCTCGGGGAACGTCAGGTGGTCATTGGTGTGCGGCCCGATGACGATGACGACGTCGCCGCGGAACTCGGCCAGGTACTGGCGCCATCCCTCCCAGCTGTGGAAGTAGCACGTCATGAGTACCGAACCCTCCGGCACGTGGCGCGTCTTCACCTCGTCGATGTAGATGTGCTCGATGAAGGGCTTGACGCCGTAGCGGCCCTGCCACCAGGCGCGGTCCACTTCGTACCCGACCACCTCGATACCTGCCGGCGCAGGAGGGTCGTATCATGCCGACGGGGGCGTCACCGACGAACGTCAGGAACGGTGGTGTTAAAAAAGGAACCCGACACTCGGCAGACAGCGCGGGCCAACAATCGGCCAAGCTTTTTCATGGCTCTCACCAACGGTCTGCCATGTCACTCGCACGAGCGTCCGTAACCTAATTTCCAACGGCAAGCGCGACAAGACGCCGAACGAAAAAGGAGGAGGGTAATCACGACATCGAACCCTAGCCCCCCGCATACGTTCCTCGCCGCGGCGCACTTCCGCCACTGACCGCTGCAGGCCCGCTTGATGAGCCACTCGAGGAAGCCGCAGCCACAGCCGACGCTGACAATGCGGGTGACCTGCAGTCGCCGCAGCTCGGCGTGCAGGAACGACAGAAAGTCGCGCGTGGGCCGGATCCAACACAGCAGCGTGTCGAAGAAGCCCTCGTTGGTGTACATGTTCATAATGCACTCCCATTCATCTGGAACAAATGGGACATGGTTAATGACACACACGTCGTACCGCCCCTTCCCGGGCTTTCTGTGTCCATACTCACATGTTTACCTCTGGCTGTCTATGTGTTCGTCTGTCAGTCTGCTCATGTCTATCTGCCTGTGTCTGACTATGTGGCTGGCCGTGTCTGCCCGTGCCTGTTCGTCTATATCTCTCTTCATCCTTTTCTCGTCCTCTCTCTCTCTCTCTCCTCTCTCTCTCTCTCTCTCCTCTCCTCTCTCTCTCTCTCTCTCTCTCTCTCTCTCTCTCTCTCTCTCTCCTCTCTCATCTCTCCTCTCCTCTCTCTCTCTCTCCTCTCTCTCTCATCTCCTCCTCCTCTCTCCTCTCTCTCTCTCCTCTCTCTCCTCTCTCCTCTCTCTGCATCATCTCTCTCCCTCCTTCTCTCTCTCTCTCTCTCCCTCTCCCTCTCCTCTTCCCTCTCTCTCCCTCTCCCTCTCCTCTCTCCCTCTCCCTCTCCCTCTCCCTCTCCCTCTCCCCTCCCTCTCCCTCTCCCTCTCCCTCTCCCTCTCCCTCTCCCTCTCCTCTCCCTCTCCCTCTCCCTCTCCTCTCTCTCCTCTCCCTCTCGCTCCCTCTCCTCTCCTCTCCTCTCCTCCCCTCTCCCTCTCCCTCTCCTCTGCCCTCTCTCTCTCTCCCTCTCCCTCTCCTCTCTCCCTCTCCCCTCCCTCTTCCTCTCTCCCTCTCCCTCTCCCTCCATCTCCCTCCTCCCTCTCTCCCTCTCCCTCTCCCCTCCCGCTCCCTCTCCTCCCCTCTCCCTCTCCCTCTCCCTCTCCCTCTCCTCTCTCTCCTCTCTCCTCTCCCTCTCCTCTCTCCTCCTCTCCCTCTCCCTCTCCCTCTCCCTCTTCTCCTCTCCCTCTCTCTCTCTCTCTCTCTCTCTCTCCCTCTCTCTCTCTTCTCTCTCTTCTCTCTCTCTCCTCTCTCTCTCTCTCTCTCTCTCTCTCTCTCTCGCTCTCTCTCTCTCTCTCTCTCTCTCTCTCTCTCTCTTCCTTGGTATAAGCCCCCCCTTGCAATACTCGTTCCCTATCTTCCAACTTGTGTCTCACATCCCTTTTCCCAGTCAACTTCATCTCCTCTGCATCTCCCTCACGCACGGCCTATTTCATGGGTCTGAGTCGGCGGTGCGCAGGCTCGCTCGCCTCCACTGCTGATGTTGGCTCCGTGGCCCGGCCCCCGCTCGCCTGATACCGCCAGTCCCGCATTCCGGCCTCCCGTTCGGCTTACGGGCCGGCTGCCAGCGGCAGCTGCCACCCGCCATATACTGGTCCCACGCCCAACGAAGAACGCCTGATGCACCGGCACACGAGGACATGAGATATGTCGGCACCCCGCACCCAGCGGAGAGTAAGCCATGTTCTGACACCACCCACCCGGTAGAGGGCACATGATGGACCGTCAACACGTCCTTAGCCACGGCACGCCGGCGCCGTGTAACGAGCCAAGGACGCTCGATATGAGATCCACTTAACCCCGTCCCTCCCCCCCACCCCGTGTGGCACGCAAGAGAACTGACACCACGCAGCCAGTAGAGAACACGCGATATACCAGCACCACGCAACCGACAGGGATAACCCATATATCGGCACCATGTAACCAACCGAGGGCGCATCACATACCGACATCACGCAGTCAGCACAGAACACACAATGCAACGATGTCAACAGTCAACAGAGAAAATACAATATATTGGCACCACGTAACTAGCAGGAGACTACCCACACACCACCACCACGCGCATAACAGAATACGCGGTATACCGACACCGCACAACCAACAGATGATACATGATTTTTGGCCGCCACCAAAAAAACAAAAAAGCCACATGCAACTGGCATCATATATCAACAGTGAACTTATGACATCAACCCAAGTTAACCGGGACGGAGAACAGGCATGCTGTCAGCCCCACCAGGTGCGAGAGCGTCCCAAGCCGCCCCACCGGCATGCATCACACGGTCTCAGCATCAGCAACGGTTCCTCTCGATCGGTAAGCCAACCAGCTAGCCATGTCGTCACACCATCAGCTTCAGCCATGTAAGGGGACAGAGATGGGCGTGCGTGGAAGCGTCGCTACCGATAGAACCACTCACCATCGCTTGGCCCGCGATGATCAACAAATTTTGATGATCATCAAAAAAGTGAAGCTGGATATCCCAGGGGAAGTTGACTTCCCCTGGGATATGGGGAAGTTGACTTCCCCTGGGATCTCCAACATCCAGATGCCGCATGAGAAAAACAAAGAAAACGTAGTGAAGGTCTCGTCAAATCACGAAGAATGCACCCGGAATTTTTGACTTAAGGTCAAATGTGAGGCCACCAGAGTCAACGCAAGGTCAAAAACGGTCTTTCCGATGGAAGCAGTTAAAACTTGGTCAACACGTTTAAACAAATATTACCCAAGGGGGCCCAGAAATAAGCGTCAAGACTGTACGGAGCCCGTTCCGCTCATTTTCGTTCCCCCACTTGGGTCAGGTCAGATGATGTCGCCGTTCAAAATTGGCCTACAAGAAGCCTACAAGTATGATACTACTCGTCACAATTTGCTTATGACTTTGCATTCCAGACATAAAAATAGCACTTTTGGGTGACCTAGAGGTCAGCTGAAGTCAACTTAGGTGAAATTCATCAGCCATCCGAGCGCAAAACAAAAGGAAATTGGTAACCTGACCATGTGACCAGTAAAATACTTTTTTTGTAGTCCGAAATGGTGTATTGGATATCTACAGGCACTCAAGATCGCATAGCTGTTGTCTATATGACATACAATCCCTTCGACGCTTCGTGACGCATTTGTAACAAACTGAGAACAAGTACGTTCGTGCATGAAATTAGACGTCATCAACTTCACAAACACGACAAGGATGTGATTACACGCGCCGCGGGCGTTCTTCTAGCCCATCCGCTCTGGCAACATAGTCCATTGACCTTGAATGATCTCATATAACATTAAATGACACTTTATAACATCATTATACATTATGAGTATATCCCAACACATTTTCAGTTGTGTATTGCTGTTTTGCGTCCAACATTCCTTAATAAAACTGTCTATTTTGAGCTCAGAATATGTTTTGCAGATGGCACTCACAGAGATAGGTCATGACCTGGGCAAAGGTCATGCGCTCTGCGATAATATGATGGTTGTGCATGCAAGGTAATACTATTCCTCATAGACGACACCAAAACTACACAAAATATGCACAAGCGTGCACAAATTACGATAAATATCAAATCCTGGCCTTAGTTCAGGTCAATGAACTCGTATTTTCCAAAAAAAATTGAAATATAAAAACTGTAGATACCACCATCTGTTACGATCTATTACTTCACCCAGTTTAAGTGATGGAAAATGACCCACAGCAAGGTTATGCATGGTTAAAATGTTTTTAGAGATCGCCCTCCTTGGCCTGACCTAGGTCACTTATCTAGGTTAGATCAAACTTTCAGATATACACAGAGGATGCCAAATTGATAGATTGACATGTACTAAAATTTCGTTGTCACTGCGAGCATTCGTTTTTTACCTGTGCTCGAAAAACCGCATGAGGGAAGTCCTCTCCCTCGGCCGGACGCGGGTAAGATAAGATCTGCAGTTTAGAGTAGATTCAGTAAACATTTAGTTTAGACCGTTTTCTTTAATACAATGGCATGGTCCTCGATTCAAGGAGCCAGTAAGTAATATATCTCTCCCTCCCTCCCTCCCTCTCTCTCTCTATCTCTCTCTCTCTCTCTCTCTCTCTCTCTCTCTCTCTCTTCTCTCTCTCTCGTCTCTCTCTCTCTCTCTCTCTCGCTCTTCTCTCTCTCTCTCTCTCTCTCTCTCGCCCGCTCCCCTTTAGCTCTCTCTCCAGCCTTTTTCTATTCTGCCTTGAAAGCACCTCTATCTTCACATTCCTTCACCGCTCCGTTCTGCCCGGAGATGACACGGGGTGTGACGTCAAAACCATAACGGTGTTTGCATACTTGTTGTGTCAGCAGAATCCACCGATTCGGGAGGGCACTCGCGTCATAAAAAGTAGCTTTTCTCGTTTGTCAGTAATTGTTAAGGAGCCCAGCTGATGATTTCAATTTGGCAAATAAAGATCACATCATTATGTGATTAGTCCAGGCCAGCAAAACCGTAAGTCATGTACCAACCGTGTTTTCTGTCTCGTTTAAAAGGTTCTTGTTCATTTAAACCTTTTCCATCAAAGCTTCTTGTATTAACCGAAAGAAAATTAATGCAGGCAAACTGCCACAAAGTCTTTACCTACGCGGACTGCCTGTTGATATGCGCCCAGGTGGCGGGTTGGACACCCTTCGCTTGGGTGGGGGTCAGTTTAACTCGCAGTCTGAAAAACTGAGAGAGCTAGAGACATCAAATTCACAGGATATATTGGTCTGTCCGTGAGCTCAATTGTGTCCAAATATGGGGTTCCTAGATCATGACTTCGGGTCAAACAAGACAACACAAGGTCAAACTCCAGATTGGTGTCTCAGTTGCCCCCAGACCTCATGCAACCGCCGTGAAGCTAGGTACGTGTTCTAAGGTAAAGGTCGGTGAGGTTAGTGGTCTTGTTGGACCTTTATGCGGTCAAGGTGACCGAATACCTACGAGATTGATCCTGTTTTGCCTTTCAAATAAGAGTCAGGGATTATGCTAGGTGGTGCTCCTTAAAACAAAGTCTTAACCTGGGTCATTTTAGGCCAGTGACCTACATTGGCATTTAAAAATTGCATGGGGCGTGTCTATTGCGGGCCGTTATTAATAAATTAAAAGCTAGCAGCAGAAGCTTCCTCTTAAAATCAACATTTCGAGAAAAAAACACGCCAGTTTTGACCTCATTCTGACCTTCATACCTGACCCTTAGTCAATGGAATTGTTAGTAAATCTGAATTCAATTGAAGTACTGGCTAAAAAACTATCTCAGATGTATGTGGCTTCGTCAAACACTCCGTTGTTACATCATATTGAACGATTCCCTAGAAATGCCTTTCGCTGATAGCCATAGCCTGGCCTTGACCTGCCATAGGTCAGAGGTCAGCAACCTTACAAGGTACATCTAATTTTTACACCAAAAGATCCGCTGTCTGATCTTTTGCAGTTATGCAGAGTTTGGCGCCGCTACGCCGCGACGTTTGGAAATCATTTTGGCAAATCCTTCGGGGGAGGGACAATTTAACCCACCACACGAACGCGTGATCACAATTTATAGCGGGGGCGAGCCAAGAAATGAGATAAAAGTGCACACCTCTGAGCCAAGGGAAATCAATTTTGGGAAGCTCACGAAGACTTAATAGACTTGGAAGCACCTGGTACGTAATCACCAGAATAACATTAAAGGAAAAATAATAATTTCAACCGATCTACTACAGGACGGGGAGCAGCAACCAGGTGCGTAAGAACGTCAGAAAAAGGAGCAGGGGGCTTGGTCAAGCCAGGCTAAGGTTGGTGTGCATGGTACCGGCCCGATGAGAGGCGCTCTTATTGGCTAGTTTATATTATGTCACATGAGGTTATCACTGTTCAGCGATTTTGTCGCGTATGACTATGGAGCTGCACTCCCACAACTGGCAGCCAATGGACCCCTCGACTGCATTTTAAGCCACGTAAGAAAGGGGCAAGCGTGACTTACAGAACCTCACTGTGCAAACACCATCGTGCGTTATGTCGTTAAAACGCGTGCCATTCTGGTCACTGCGGGCATCGGACAGTGAAACACAGGGGGGTGCTACGTCTGCCTTTCAAAGTCTAGACCACACGTGGCACCACGCTGGCACAGTACGCGAATAACCTTAATTACGTCACGTATCGATGATGGGTAGAGACTCATGAAGCATTAGAGTAGGAAGGCACCACCTAAAACAGTCGCCTTCAGCTGACTTCTGCCCGCGAAAGCTGGCCAGCAGGAACTACTGAAGGAGAAAAACTGGCGGAAATGGCAAAAAAAAACCTAATACAACACAAAATGTTGCTGCGAACCATCTGAGTGAAAGCGCACAACAAAACAGTGATACAAACTGCATGTTCACCACTTCTGGTGTCGGCATGGCGCCTATATCGGGAGTCTTACCAGAGGCATAAATATTAATAAAAAAAATGCAAGGCATCAGAATTGGCAAAAAACATCTTGCACAGGTGCTGTTGACAACCACGTAGTAATAACAAAACACAAACCATTTATTCCCATCATCCCAGCCTATTATCAAGTGCAGTGCAGGCGCGGGCACCGCTCGCAGGCGCACGACTAACCTTTGTGCCAGTGGTCCAGCGCCCGGTCCCGGAGCTGTATGACCTTGGCCTTCGCATCGGCCGCAGACTGGTAGGGGTTGACATCTCCCTGATCCTCCTCCTTCTCCTGCTCGTCCGCGTCCACCTGCCCCAGCTGGGGCGTCATCAGGAGTGGCCCCGTCGGTCGGACGCCTGCACGCGATCCGGTGGAGTTCGGAACCGTTCACCGTACCCACCCACTGTAGGGGTTCGGCGACGGACGACTCGCTGTAACAACGCTTGTGACCAGCTGTGAGCACTCGTGACCAGCGCTCGGCAGGTCAAAGGCTTCCCGTGACCCCAGATGAGCACCGTGGCCTCAAGGCCGACGCTGGGATACCGCCATCACCTTGACCCCAGGTCAGCAAGGTGCGTGGCTGGCCCAGCGGAGGTGAACACTATAACATCAAGCTCACCAAGTTTCACGTCACGTCCGACTATGACTGCCGCCTTACGGCCGGCTTCCTAACCACTCGGCACCGTGACCAGCCCGTCTCAGGGCGCGCCCGTGACCTAATCTGGCGGCAAGACCGGCCTCTGAAGCGGCGTCAGCTCAGCTCCAGCCGCCACCGAGCCCGTCACTGCCCCGGCCCGCTCAGTTTAGACCAGACGCCGGATTGTTGGCAGTCGTCCCGCTGATGATGACGTCACAGGTCGAGGGCCGTTGCCCGTGAGGGGGGAGGGGGGCACCCGCTGTCACCGATGAATTCACAACGGAACACCTCTGCGAGGACGGCGGTGTCGTTTCACTCCGAGATAGCGTCCGTTTGCGGACGGAGCGACGGTGTCGGACCGGGCGGCTGGCATCTCGCTGTGTCATGGGCACATGGAACGTTTCAAATATCGATTCCGTAACGCAAAAGCAACCGCCATTTCTTGGGGCTTTGCGTTTCTCCTAAATTTCTTAAGACAGACTTAATGTGGTCATCTGCTTACATGGTCAACAAGCGCGGCTAGATTGAGCGAATTATCCCGGATTTTCATCGAGAAGCCTTGAGGCTCACCCACAAATCAACCCTAGGCCGTCTAAACCTGCTGATTATCTCCAGATCTCCGCATACGCAGTAAGAAAACCAAGCCGTCTGATCCTTTGTATTACCACCGTACCTGGAACATATCTGCTGAAAGATCATCTGGGAGACAAAACGACATACTTTACCTTCAATTCGTAAGGAACAATCAACACGAAACAATATTAACACTACATTCCTCCAACACATTATCAGCAAACCATGCAATAAGCAATCACATATTAGAGTGCGCTTTACCTAATAAATGCTTTATTCTAAATTTATTATATTTTCTATTCTACTTTTTATTCCATTCTAAATTTGATATCAACACTACATTCCTCCAACGCATTATCAGCAGATCATGCAATCAGCAATCACATATTAGAGTGCATTTCACCTAACAAATGCTTGGAATAAAGCCCTGCATTACTCTACCTGACGCAGAAAACAGCCGACAATAGTCGATTTCTGTCCATGGCACATGCTGCACGAGTCAACGCAAACTTTATTAGACCCTCATGCCCTGAATGAATAAATTATATGACTTAGCTAAAACGGCTACGCACCCCACGATCCCACGATTATCCCCCTTATTCCCTGGGTCACATGGAAGGCTGCTATCACACAAGTCCCCGGGACTTGTCCGTGACAGTGATGCACGTGCCACGGTCTGTGGAGCTCATAAGGCAATCACACGGCACGGGATGGATCTGCTCCTCTGTGGTACGCGTGGAAGGATGGGTGCCACACCCATCATGGACCTGATTAACCCCCCATCAGGGCCGATAGGAAAGCTTCAATCGTATCAGGCCTCGGACGCACGCGGAGAGTGCATCTCGCGCTCTTTGGAACTCATGCGCGGAACGCACCAATGCCAACTGCCACCGAGTTCTTCAGCCTTCACGGCGGCACACACCAGCGCATGCTGCGATATCTTTGGACTAAAACACGCACCAGCGCCCACCGTCATGTACCTACGGGGATGGGACGGGAGGCGGGGGGGGGGGGGGGGGGCGACGGAAGCGGCGCGTCGGCGGGCGGGCTTTTCTCAGGCCCGACCCAGCCGGTGCTGCTCCTGCCAGACGGCCAGCAGCCGGTCCGGGTCGTGGAAGCCGTGGGAGGCGACCACGTCCCGGTAGCCATGCGCGTCGTACGGCCGCTCCCAGAAGTGGATGTGCTCCGTATGCACCGGTTCCATGCCGGCCTTTTTGGCCACCAGGCCGATGTAGATGTCGTCGAACCTGCGGACAGCGGGACACCACGCTGACGTCAGCGGGCTGCGGGCGGTAACGTGTTCGCTTACAACAACGTGACGGCTGCGCACGGCTTTGCCGCGTCGGTTGTGCAAGTCGCCACAAGCTTATGAGCCAGCTTCAGCAGTTAAGCCAGAGACCAGTCAGAGACCAACCAAGCCGTCACACCAACTTCATTTGTATCTTGGTCACGTTTACCGTTTTGACACGCGCCAACAACTCATCATTTTGGCTCAAATCACGCCGAGATTTGGCATGGAAAGAGACCGCTGTGTGGACCGTTTCAAGCTGAAACACCTCAAATCATGTATCACGACACACCCGACTATATCTCAATCAACAAACAATCTTGGGATACCCGATTTGGCCAAGCAGCGACACACGCTGGTCTTGTTGGCAGCGGCAGCCCAGCCGCCCGCACCTGAACATTTTGGTGTAGTAGCTGGTGTACAGGATGCGGCGCAGGGCGGAGCGCGACAACAAGTACGCGCCGGCCGTGCAGTACGGCGGCCACTGGTTGAACGGGTACTCCTCCACCGAGATGTACCACTTGCTGAAGCGCTGCCGCAGGGGCGACGAGTGGAACACGTAGCCAGCCATCAGCGGCACATCAGGCCGCGACGGCTCGCCGCCAGTGGCCGGGTACGTGCGCGGCGCCGCCACCAGCCGCAGCACGTTCACCACCGACACGTACATGTCGTCGTCCGCGAAGAGCACATGCTCTGCGCCGCCGCACTGCTCCACCGCCCAGCGCATGCCGCTCATCGTCTTCAGTGTGTTGTTGAAGTACGAGTCCTCGAAGTGCGCCTGCACCACGTCGCCGAACTCATCGGCCTCGCGTGCGACGGCCGTCTGCAGGCGCGGCTGGCCGGCGCGCGTGCCCAGCAGGAACACGTGGCGCACGTCGGGCCGCTGCGACGCCCAGCTGCGTCGGATGACGCGGCGCTGATCGAAGTGGTCCACGGCCGACTTGACCACCAGCAGCAGACGCAGCGGGTCTTCGCCGGCGCAGCGGTGCCGTGCCTCCGACAGGTAGCGGAACTGGTGCGTGTTCAGCGGCGTCACCGGCGACTGCTGGCCGCCCAGCAGCAGCTCCACGTAGTAGCCGACGTCGCTGTCGAGCGGGTAGGTGAAGCGCGTCTCGTAGTCGAGCTCCCGCATGTGTTGGATTACGCCGAACAGGTCCAGCAGGAGCAGGAGCCCGGCGGCCGCCAGCAGCGCCAGGTACGGCCGGCGCCAGTGGAGCACGCGCGTCGCCATCGTCCGGGCCCGCCCCCTCCGCGGGCGGGCCGTCCACGCCGCAAACGGGACTAACGTCGTGACGGTCGTTCCTGGGCGCGGCACAATGGATGGATGAAGTCTCTCACAGGCAGTCTTACAGCAATAGCATATCCACAACTGCAGCCTTATATCCATTTGAATCGTTGCATTTTAATTATTCTTTCGCAATCATCAACTAAAACGTTACGCCCTTCAACAGCTTTCCACACAGAACAATTATCAGCACCTTGCACCACTTGTGACATTTATCCTAACTCCCCGCCAAACAAAAGCTACGTTCAAATATTTTTCACTATGAAAATAAAAAAACTACTCTCGCATCACGGGCAGCCAAAAAACAAAACAAAACAAAAACAAAACAGCAGGTCCAGAATATACAAAAGGTAGTCTGCAGACCATTACAGGGACGCTGACGACTTGCTTGGGGCAGCCTCGATCCTACCCGAAGCTGAGTAGCGAGATGTCGCAGCTTGGGCGGTCCGGTTCTGAACCGATTATACCGTAAAATCCAGCTCCTCATTGAACTTGAACATTATTTTGGCCGCACATCATTTAAGTTAATTGTTTTGCTTTAAACAGTAACACATAATTTTGTTCTGCGCGTACAGGATAAATGAGAGCGAGGCAGCCGGCCGGTGATCGATATGGTCGGACGATAATTATGGCAGTTACCGAAAGGAGACACGAATCTGAATAGAATTCAGAAATCCTGTCTCAGGTTCAATACATGCTTCACTTAACACGCACACCGGTAGCCAGCTGAATGCGACCCGCTCGGATGGGGTGGGGGGTCCATTTGCCCTCCCCAATGATCGCCAAAACTGGGAGAGCTAGGGACATCAAATTCACAAGGCCCGGCAGGTCATTTGTGTCAAGTTTGTGAACTCATTTGAAATAAACTTTGAGCTTCCCAGGTCATATCTCCGGGTCAAATACGGTAAAAAAGGTCAACTTCACTATCGGTGTCCGAAATGCCCTCAGTACCCCATCACGCAACCAGCTTGACCCAGGATACTTGTGATAAACAGGATTAGTGGTGTTCGTATTGGGCCAGTTACCTGATTTTACCTTTATAAGACAAAAATGATCAAAAACCAACAATACTTTTTTGAATTGCATATGAATGTCCAACATCATCCCATACAATAGGCCTTCGAGTAAGGGAGCCGTATGGTTTTGACCTTGATCTGATCTTCACATGTGGCCTCAGATCAATGGCATTAGTCTTAATCCTTATCCCCACTGCCTTATTGTCCTTCCACCCTCACAGAGTTACAGGATCTCGCCTAACACCCTGCTGTTCCACACTGTTGAACGATTACCAGGGAATTCCCTTCACTGACACCCATGGTCTGACTTTGACCTGCTGTAGGTCGTCGTCGTCACTGGGGCTTTAAAAAGCACTCAGCTGCAGAGGCTATATGGCTTCGCCTGTCTCTTACCCTGGCAGGGTAAGAGGCAGGAAGGAAGGGCGGAAGGAGGAAGGAAGGGCGGGCCTGTTGTAGGTGAGCGACCCTACGAGGTATATCAATTGTTATACCAAAGGATCGGTTGTCTTACTGTCTGCAGACTGACAAAAATGGTGCGGATGCGCCTCGATGTTAGGAAGTCATCCTGAAAAACTTCAAGGGGGGGGGCGCAAAGGACCCCACGTCTAAGAGTATACCATCCACTGTCAGGTTGAATGTACCACACCAAAGCAAGCACCACAAAGATGCACCCAAAATGAAGCTTAAAGGGTACCGAACAATCCTGTAAATTTGACAGATATTAGCGCGGTAGTTAGCGCCCCTAATGCACCAAACAGCAGGGGGAGTGTTGGGGGGAATGCTCCACATTTGAAGACATTGAAGCAAACATAAGATATGTATAGAGTTGGAAGAAGTATACAAGTTAGCAAAAGCAAATACTAAACAAAAGACAGCTCTAGACAACACAACTTCTCTACTGAATATCCTCCTCAATACGGCATTGTTCGATTGCGTCATCGTAACCTGCACAACGTTGATTGACAGCTGATTGACGACCGTTATATCTGGAAATCGTGATCACGAGCACCAGATATGAACGACTTGACATTTTATTTTTTGGTTTTAATCGCCGCATGGACGGTGGAGTGGCAGGATTTGAATGACGTTACATGACGTCGGGGATGCGTGGGAAACCTTGAAATAGTCTACTCGCAAAAACCTGCACATCTTAGCGGGCGTGGAGCTTAGAAAGTAAAATGGTTTAGTTCTAAAGGAAGACAGGACTGTGAACTGCACCGGATGATCTTCAAGATGGCTATTTCAGTTAAAAACCCCGCAAAACCCGGCCGTCTCTCCGTTGAACACCCTCTTCAAGGGAGAGACGGCCAGCCACAGCAGCATGCAGCAGCTTGTGCAGCTGATGGTGCGTGGCACCATTCCAGAAATCAGAAACGACCTGCCCTAGCACCTGAGGCTATCAATCAACTCAAGGATGGGCTGCCCACAATAGATGGGGTCCCCATTTACAAGCAGCGAGCGGTCATCTCACCAAAGCTATGCCCAGTTGTGGTGATAACGCTGGATGTCGGCCATGGGTGTGTCCAGGAGATGACCGCCAAAGGGGAGAGCTCTGTTTTCTGACCAGCATTACTTCAGCCATCGGGGAGGAAGCGTCAAGTGTGGCCCACGCCATGGAATGATGCTGTTGCAGTCGCGTTACGCTACACAGCAACACATGCTAGAATGTGTTAAAGCAAGTACTCCACACTTATATGGAGTTGACTACAGCAGCACATGCTAGAATGTGTTAAAGCAAGTACTCCACACTTATATGGAGTTGAACTGATACAACCTTTTTGAAAATTATTTGATGCAATTCACGGCTCTGCCCTTTTAAGACTTCAAACCACAGGTGTTGATGCATATTCTCTTGTTAGGGCTCTGGCCCCCCTAGTGTTGAGTTGAGTTGCCCTGCCCTCCTCCCCCCCCCCAATGTTGGCTTGGTCCCCCAATTTTTTAGCTGAAATACTACAAAACACAGGAGTAAAAGATGACCATGACACAAAGACTATCTTCTTTGATCTTTTCACATAGTGGCACCTCCTGCCACTCTCATAACAAATGTTGTGATTGCTCTCAACACAAGATACAAATTATAACAGCTGAGTGGATAAATAATGCAATAAATTTCACATACCTAGTGTCATAAGACACACAATGGTTGTAAGGCCCAAGTAAAAAGCTCTGGAATATGGGGATGACCAAGTTCTTCATGGTTAACCCTGTCTCCCACCCCCACAACCAAAATGAGTGTTGCCTCCCATGATGACTATAGAAGAGAGCCATGGCACCCTAAGGTGGCCTTTAAAAGGGCACCTTCATGTGCTGATCAGAAGAGACACATGCATCCAGTGCCTCCTTCCTGGGTCTAACCCTGTATGACTTCTGTATTGCTTAAATTCAAGACTTTTATAAATTATACAAATATCACAAACATATATTCAATATTGTGCTTAATCAAATAAGTGGTTTAAATCTGACGAGAAAAAACTGGGGTGGGGTGGGTTGTCAGGCCTTCACGGTTCGGCCCCCCGCCCCCCCCCCCCCCAATAATCTGCAGAGATTGACACCCCAGGTTCAAACCCTCTCATTTCTGAATTTGGCACATGCAAACTATTTTGCAAAATGTTTTGTACAGCCTAGCTGAAGGTAACCCATAAATGCATGACAATATAACATAAATGCAAATTTATGTTAATACTGCTACCTCAGTGGCTATATATAGCTCACAGTCCAGATAAATATGATCAAAGATCATCATTTCTTTTGTCTGGTCAACCTGAAGCACATCAATGGGCACCAATCAACCTTGAAGTGTTTGTGCACACATGCTATGCTTTTGGAGGTGATGGAGGATAAAGAAAGTTGTTGATACTAATAATTTTATGTTGAAAGGTGTGAATATAAAATATGGCTGATAGAAACCAATCCATAAAATGCTGTGCACCTGTTACAGAATCACTTAGGACATGGTAAGAAAACTTTATGATTAAAATGTCATGCAGGCCACTGGAATATGAATAGGCACATCTGGCACCTGGTTAGTGTAGCCATCTACCAGCCAAGGCAGTATCTTCTTCCCAGAAGGACAGATGCTAGGGCAACATGATACCCACCTGTGCTTCTGTTGGCCTATACATATGTATGTATATATATATATATATATATATATATATATATATATATATATATACATATATGTACATGTATCTGTGCATGTGTGTGTGCACATGTATCAGCTATGGCCAGGGATGAAGTTCGCTTTCCAGTTGAATAAGGCCCCTGCCCCCCCCCCCCTTCAATGTTGCGAGGAAATTTGGTCAAATCTGGGGGAAAATTGCCTTCACCATTTCTACATTCATATGGGTTTAACAACTTTTTCCACCCAACCCTCGCACAACTTAAGCATAAAATCAATAAAATCTGGGACGTCAAAAGACTGGTGCTGTGTGATCGGGACCCGGACGTCGATGCAGCAACGGCAGAGGTTATTTTTTCCTCATAGACCAGCCAAGCCCTGCATAGTTTGCATCCGCTACATCCACTCACCGACATTGAAACTGATACTATAATATCCTCAGTGTGTGACACTGAGTTGAATTCATAAAAAGTGTTTACCGACATTCCTAGCGTGCCTCAACGTCACCACCCGACACTGCTCCCGCGCGGCCCTCCCAAACTAATGTATTGGCTAAATCGATAGCCTTGGCTAAATCTGAAGTGCCCTAGGCGAGATAGCCCTGCCTAGGCGTAAACACAGAATGCTACAGAAATGGCGCGCACGAGGGACCAGCCTTATCCGCTACCATTTCTTCATGGGTTGTGATATGACTTTTCTAAGCCCTTATTAGTTTTTTTTTTCTAGAAATTATGCATCGACTAAATCTAGATAACATTTAAAGCATTAATATCTAAACTTACAATCCATATGCCTCCACGACTGGGAACAATAAAGCCTTTACACCCACGCCCTAATTTGGTGGCGACGTTCCGTAGGAAGATAGAACACCTTGCACGCTATTATCCAATGCAACTTTTGCGCGTTTACATCACGCATTCAGCTCGCATCTCTTGGTGGAAGCTATGCTTCTCTCCACTGGCGGAGCCCTAGCGCAGGAGTCCTGCACGATGGTCTCAGTTAACCTACCGACACACACGCGATATGGTCATGGGCCCAAACTTCAACGCGGCGCTGTCGATGTTTCGGGACGGGCTCATTCCCATCCGACGCCGTTCAAATGTAAAATAGCACAAATGTTCCATCTCTCCTGCCACCGTCAGATTAGGTAGATGTTACGCGCGAGTTTTTCTTAAGATTCTTGCTTTTTGTTTGTTTTCGCTTGTCTCCTTTAATTCCTGTGCGGCCTCCCTCTGCTGGCCGTCCGCGTCACTAGGGTAAGGGCTCCCCATTTCTTCGCAATATTATCATGATCATCCGACGGATTTCTCACCAACACAAAAACAGTCATCACAAGATTCTCAAAGCCCAAATTTCATAATGGCAACAAGCTCCGTGACCAACTCAATAATGCAGATGAAGTCTCTGCATGGTTCTTGGAGTTACATACTCACACATAACGTTGTAAAATGCATTATATTCTGGGCACGTTTACAAATAGTTATCAGCGAGACAAAAACTTGCTTTGTCAGAATAACCAGTTTTATAAATATATTAATACAGTCGGTTAGATTAGCTGTGCATGTAGGAATGATGGGCAGCACTTGACCCCTTTTTGCGTCTTGTATTAATCTTGTCATTGGGGCTTTGCGACGCGGCCAACTGCTCAGACTATGTGACATGGCCTGCCTATCATCCCCGCACGAGGGAAGGCCACTCCAGGCCCACAATCGTCTAGTGACAGTGATTGTACTCACAAATAATCAAACACACTTAAAAAAGATACTTAAGTGTAACACGTCTACCAACAATAATCACATTTGCTTTGATTAATTATGCATGCCATCGGCGGCTACTGCCTGGCGGGCCAACTGTTATGATTTGCACGTAGTTATCACCGAGGCAACGCCCTGTCAGAAACCGCGGAACTTGGGACGATTGCAAATGGTGGTGAAAACACTGACTCCTGACAATATATAGGCTTTCACACAACAGATGCTTTCATCCTAACATGGGCAGCAAACATCACTGTACTGGAATTCCGCAACCAGCCTCCACACATTCAACCCGTTTCATGTATGCAGTTGTCACCGGTCACATTGAAGGAGTCGCTATACTGTAGTCGCTACAAACAGTCTACAGGATATGTGTAACGATCATGCACCCTCATTTATGAGTAGTACCGTACAGCCATATATCACGTATACACCGGAAGCTGTCCCCAGCAACAAGAGTGCCTGGTGTAAGGCTCATCGTGGTACCACCCTCTATCGTCTCCAATCCCCAACCTCTATCGTCTCTGAATTATGCCGGAGTCCCTCGTCGACCCGACGGAATTTTTCATCGTTTCACGATAGTTAGCCGCCCGAATCCCTCATCGCCTCTTAATACTTATTTGCTGGAGTCACTCCTCGGCTCGCCGGAATTTCTCACGGGATTTTATGTGCGAATCTCGCCTACCGGAGTCGTTGAAATAATTGTAATAACGGTACCCTCAGAAACCGAATTCACTGCCCGTGCTAGGGTCAGTCACCCGTGGTCATCTTAGCGGACCCATTCTGTGGTCGCAGGCCAATCCATCAACGGAAACAAGCAACCAACTTTTCCGACAGCCCAACGCGCTTTTCCGGCTTACACCTTCTGGGAGTCGCAAGAGAGCAGATGAAAAATGAGTGTCACGTTCTGCAAGTCGCGAATCCATCAGCGGTATCATACACGTGCTACTGCTTGTAACTAATAATTCGATGTAGCTTGTGGAACATTTACAGCCGCCCCAAGCTGTACACAACATGCGAGATATGCAAGATACAGGAATTGACGTCAAAAGCATGGACTTGACTAAGACACGTCCCGCATTGTCGCACACACTTCAAATCGTACATAGCTTTCATTGACATGCTATTTTGCTACAGACTGTTCATTGAATCGCATAGAGTAATACTAATCGGGGCTCGGGACGCCATCTACACCACACATCAGCGACATATTTGTACATTCGGCATGCTGATTACAACGATACTATGCGTGCATGAAAGGAGAGCACGACAAGCAACGGATCAGAAGTGTTGCGCAAACACGCAATATTAACACTTCCACAGACTCCCTTTTCTTTAATGTACATCAGTACAACGCAAGGTTATAAAACAGACATAGGCCGGGGATCTGAGGGAGCCGCCGAAGGGTCGGGGATTCCTCCGCCGGGCTCACATTTTGTAGAGGTGTGGGCGCCGAGTGTCCAGCCCTCGACGCGCCAGGCCGATGCGGTCTTCCATCGCTGCCGCCCGTCTCAATAATCGTCACTGTTACTGTGCTTTGCTTCGACGGGGTCGGTGCATTTAAAGGACCGCCCCCTATTGATCGTCCTGTCGCGCATGTCCGGAGTGAGCGTCCGGGCCAAACGTGACTTGCAAAAGCCGTACTCGCACATTAAAAAACAGCATGTGGCCCGAGGCGGATACATACACCGCGCCACATAAACATGTTAATCCCCGAAACAAAAATAAAATTTACAAGGTGAAAAATGTCAGAAAGTGCATGAGGCAGTGAGATTGATCTACTGGATGGCTTAACACAACCTAGTTTGAAAAAGACAAGGCTAGTTTACTCTGTCTCACTCGTCGTAATGTTGTGAAAAAGTTTTTTGGTGTCCTGCGACAAAGCCGTCTCGTTCGCTCCTCAGGTTTTGAAAGTTGCAAAGCGCAGGAACCAAGGAATTCATAGTGAATCATAGTTTAATGCGCAATCAATACAGCTTCATAGCAACGTGACCTGGAAAACGCAAACGTAACACTGGGCGGCGTCGCAACGCTGCTTTGCACTTAGCTCCGCGAGCTCACTCTGGAAAAGAGCGTGCAGCCGAGAGGCGCACCTGGTTAGGTTGCGAAGCAATCAATCGGCCGACCGATGGTACAGTGCATAGTCAACCATCATTATCTCTGGTGAACGACTGAAGACTTACATCTGCCATCGTGAGTTATTTTTTAAAACTTTGCGCAGATGTGTGTGCTTCAAATTCTCTTGCACGTTGCACGTGCCACAGAAACATACACTTGTGTATGCGCACACAGAGATGGAGTCTTTTGAGCGCGCATTGGTGTCTGAATGGTAATCCTGTGCAGGAGCGGCGCCACGGATTGTGAGTTAGGGGACAGGATTTTCCAGTGAGACTCCTGGACCAAACGGGGGCGTCCTCACAGGAGACCTCCTGGACAGCGTCGTATTCAAGGGGGGGGGGGAGAACAGCCGGGACAAGTGGTCTCTTTAAAAACTCTAAATAGGATCTTTCACTTATCCAGTAAAATGTCTCACTAAACTAACACGCGCTGGGGTGGGGGCTTGAAATTCACTCCCCAAAGGTTTTTTTCTAGAATGGTTTCCGAACGGCGCGGCGTAGTCGCACCAAATTTTGCATAGCTGCAGACAATTGAATTTCGGATCCTTTGGTATCAAGAATTTAGATGCACTTTGTGAGGTCTCTGACCTATGGAAAGCTAAAGTTAGGCCATGATTTCAGCGAAATCAATTTCTAGGGACGTTTAATCTGATGCAACAACGGAGTGTTAGACGAGGCCATAAGTCTCTGAGATGCCTTCTTAGGCAGCACAATTATTGAATGAGCGAATTAAGTTGACCTAAGGTCAGGTATAAAGGTCAGACCAAGGTCAAAACCAACCTGTTTTACTATTCTAGGGCCTGCTGTGTGGATAATTTCTGGTGCTCATTTCGAATTATTTGATAGCAGCAACCATATTGTGCATCTTCCATAGACTTCTAAAAGGTCAGAATAGGTCAATGACCTAAAGTGACCCAGCTCAACATTACGTGTTTAGAAACATACTGCCTGACGTAATCTTTGTCGCTTATTCAAATGCAGAACTCAGAGCAGTGTTGTATGATTTTGGTTACCATGACCTTCAAAAGGTCAAACAAGGTCACTGATCTCAAATGAACATGTGACCTTTTGCTTAGAAACAAATATCTAGGTTCTGGGAGCACTTCTGCGACCAACCTGAAATTTGACTTTGACTTACTTGACCCGAATGTCATGACCTAGAAACCTCAAACTTTGGCCTAAGTGAGTTCACGTACAGGTCAACACATTTGGTAAACTTGGTGCCTCTGGCTTTCTTAGTTCTCGATATCTCAGGAGGGTCAAATTGACCCCCAACCGAACGAAGAGTATAACGCCGGCCACCCGGACGCGTGTTTAAACAGGGTCTTCTGTTTCAAAAAAGGATCTCCTAATGCAAAGAGGAGCCTCCTTTTTAGAACAGGATGCTTCCGATTCACGAAAGAGGCCTCCAACTAAGGCCAAGGGGTCTCGTTACCCGAAAACAGGGCATCGTGAGCCACAACCACGACTCTCTGATGACTGAAAAGGACTTGCTGGTCCAGGAATGGGAGCTTTCCGAAATGGAGGGTGCCTCCTAACCCAAAACAAGGGCCTCCATGTTTGTAACAGGTTCTCCTGATTCCACAAAGGGGTCTCCTTAACACAACATTGGTTCTCCTGATCTAGAGCATAAGCTACCCTGCTCATAAAGATGTTCTCATGGCCTAGAAAACGGGTCTCTGAATGGAGAAAAGGGAAAGGGGTCTTCTGAGCCCAAT